AGGGAGAAAAGTATGCAAAAGAAAAAAGTTAAATTCCTAAAAATTCCTATTGTTGCACAAATGTAGTTATATTCAACAGTCATATTAATTAAAATAGCAGATTTGAATTTTATACTAATATCAGTTTAAATCTTTTTTCTAGCTGTAAAGTCATGTATGTTTATTTTAATAAATAGAAATTATAATTTCTCGTGCCATTTTATGTTAACTAAATAATGAAGTTTTATTAATTTCTTTTAAAAAAGTTCTCACAATATTAATTTCATTAAAATCCAATCTTATTTATGGTAAAATAAAATTTTATTACTATAATAAATAAACTATTTAATCATTTAACCCATTTTGTATACTTTTTTCCTTATAAGTAGGACATTAACTTTTTTTGTAATTGGATCTATTTTTGTTTTGATTTTATAGAATTCATAACTGTTTTAGCGTATTTTTAACACATTCTATTCATATCCTAAAAGCTACAGAATACAGGTGTTCCAATATCTATTTTTTTAATACTTTTGAATATAGCTTTTTTATTATAATTAATAATCAAAGGCGACATAACATCATAAGTAATATTTGTTTACGAATATTTCAACTTTTTTGTCGCAACTTAACCTCGGAAAATGACAAACGCCAAATTTTCTCAAACTTTTTCCTTTTTGCTTGTCGTGTCAAAGTATATTTATATAGATGATTTTTTTAATTAAACATTTTTTTTTATTTTATGTTAATGATTTACACATTGAACATGTTAAAATTATGCTAAGACAATTACTCTATATTTTCTGATTTTGACGTGATGTTTAAGTTAGTATTGTCTTGTTCAAAATTAATTAATCTGTTATATGTTTTAAATTTTGGCACACATATAAACACGAAAGTTATTATTTTTGTGTTTTGTGTGTCTGATCAAATTGAATAAATCGACAAGATCTATTTTTAATAAGATGTGACTTTATATATATATATATATAATATAAATTATATTCTCTAAATCTGAATCAGTGAATAATCACTGATATCATGTTTGCCACTGGTAATCGATGAATCAAATGTGAGATCACTAATCTAGCTAATCTTTATTATGTGAATAATAAACTAACTTGTTTTAGTGGATAAATTCAATGAATATGGTATTGGAAGATTGAAATTGACGCGCAATTAGTATTTTATCAGCATCTTAATTATATAAGGCTCAAATATTCTTTTTTGAAGATGGACTTTACTGATTATCCAGTGCCAAGTATACCACTAGGTAATTAATGACTATCCACTGATTCAGATTTAGAGAGATATATTTGCGTAAAATAAAAAATTAATTATACTTTAATGATAAACGATTATAGAATGTTTTTACAGCGACATCTAACATCTTTCGAGATTTACTTCTTATCTCACTCTTTATATGTATTTAATAGTTTAAATAAGAAAAATTATGCATGTTTTTTATTTATGAAAAAAATTATGAATATTACATGAAAATAATTTATGCCATATAGTTTACTCATTGTTAGATATAAATTCATTCGAAAGAAATCGACTTCTTCAGTATAATCCGAGATTTCGAGTACAGAAGAGCTTTGGGACAGTAAGGAAATAAACAACTTTCTGCCGCAATTTTAAGCAAAAGAACTTATCCGCAGAGAGCAACGATCTCTCTTAAATATTACATACTTTCAACACTTGTTCTCAAGTAATTGTATCTTGTAAACAATCTTTTTTTATTGAATAGTGTTACAAAATAAGTATAGTGCATTCAACAGGAATTATTACAATCAAAAATTTCTTCAACTACTTTCGGTAATCCACTAAACTGTATTCCTAACACACCACGTGTTCTCACATGATATCTAAAATATCGCTGTCTTTGAACACGATATTTTACAATATATAATTTTAATCAGATTAATTATTTCAAAATATTAATCTTTTGAGGAAAAATTTTCTAATAAAACTGAAACTTTCTAATAAAGTAACTTTTAGGGATTTTTAGAATCGTTAAATTCGATTTTCGTTTTAAAATTCAAAAATTTAAATTTTTTTTTAAATTTGATTATCGCTTGAAATACATGTGTGAAGCACCTCATCTTTTAGCATCACAAGTTTTGATAAAAGTTCCATTAGCACCCGCAATAGTTCTATTATAATTATAGTTTCTATAGTTCCTGATAGGTTTTATAAATAGTTCCGTTGATTTAGTTAAAAAAATAACACTTGAAAATTTGCGGTGCTAACTTCCCGTGGCACCGTAAGATTCGAAAAAATCAATTGAAAACCATGAAATTGTATAATTCTCAATGATTTCTACAGTTCCTGATAAGTTTTAACAATAGTTCCGGTCTCTAAATTATTTTAAATAAATAAATAAAATTTCAATATTTCAGTGGCTAATATTATAAATAAATAAAAATTAAAAAAAAATAAATTAAACCAGCGCGCTGGCACCGCACCATAAGAGTAAAGTACCTTTTAATAGCCAGTTCCAGCCGACTTTTTGACATTTTCCTACAGTTCTACAATAGTTCCGACGATTTTTATAGATTTCGCTCAGAGTTCTAGTCTCTAAGTACTTTTTAATAATAATTAAATCCGCGCGCTGGCATCGCACCACAAGAGTAAAGTACCTTTTAACAATCAGTTCCAGCCTTTTTGGCATTTTTTTATATAACATATAATATTACATGACTCTTTCGACAATTCAACACGTTAATTTTCCTTTAATCTTTTAATTTCAAACGGTGTACAAATACGTTTTAATAAATCGATATATATGTCCGAAAGACATATGCATTCATACGCCGAAATAATGAATATGCAATTTTTATCATATTATTTTACGTATATTTTCTTTAAATTCGCAATAAATTTTTTACAAGTTTAAAATGCTAGTATAAAGTTGACGAAAAAATTTAATTTGTAAAATTATTATTTTTTTCAGTTTGATTGTGTTGCAAATACGAAAGTAACCAATGCTCATGACCATATTAAAAGCACTTGTACTTAAAAATTGTAAAGGAATACTTTCTCCAAGTTTGACCGTAGTTGCCGCTTCTCTTACATACAATTAGTTAATATCCTTATATTACTTACAGAAGTGTTCAAACTAATGGAAAACGCTGAAAAATCAGGAACTGGCTGTTAAGGGGGTTATAAGGCAAATGCAATATGTTAAAAATTATTTGAGAAAATTATAGATTATTCTAAACTGCATTTAAAAATAATATAAAAAAATTAGAGACAGTTGACCACCTGGATCAAAAGTTATTTCAATAAAAAGTATTTTTTAAATTTGTACTCTAATAGAAATATATGAAAATGTATTATAAAATAAAGATAAAAATCTCAGTTTTTTAATATAAGTATTTTATGAATACCAAAAAAAATGTATGCAAAGTTACATTGAAATGCAGACAATAATTGTCTAGTAAATAAACAAAATATTTATTTGTTATAAACTAATTAGTGAATCTTAATGAAACTTTGCATAAGTCATTTTTAGTACTTGAAATATTTATATTAAAAAATTTAGATTTTTGTTACCTTTAAAATTTCTGTTTATAACAATAAAACTAATAACAAATAATATAAATAATCTATAAAAATATGTTGCTAAATAAAAACAATGTTATCAACATAACTCACATATATGTAGTTTAAAGCATAAATATTAATATATGTGTAAATAGTAATATTTATGCCCTTATAACCTCTTAAGGTGTTTTACTCTTGTGGTGCGGTGCCAGCGCGCGGATTTAATTGTTATTAAAAAGTACTTAAAGACTAGAATTCTGAGCAAAATCTATAAAAATCGTCGGAACTATTATAGAATTATAGGAAAATGCCAAAAAGTCGGCTGGAACTGGCTGTTAAAAGGTACTTTACTTCGAACAAATCATTACATAAGTCAAGTTCTATGAAAATCACGCGAGCAGTTTATAAAATAACAGCGATTCCAAATGAAATCGCCGGTTCACAAAAAATGAAGGTCAAAGTCTGTTGCTGCATAATATGTCCTCAATTATATGTAAATTATGTGTGACCCATGCTTTGCATTTTTTGTCTTTAGAAGATTTATTTATTTACAGGTCTATTTTTTAAATCTTATAGTTCTTCTTTGAATGGAAGAACTATACACTAAAACTTTTGTTTGTATTAAAATTGCGGATAAACGGGCCATTTAAGTTTTTTTTAAATTTTATGCTTAATTTTATATATTATTTGTGTTACTTTTATTTATCTTCTATTAAAATAATATCAAATAAAATTGAATAAGGCTCCAATGATTAAATCAATAAAGATTTATGATGCCAATGAGAACCAAACACTGTTGTACTTGATATCAAATATTATATATATGCCAATCATCGATTGCAGACGTTTCAACCATAAGATTTCGTCATCTTCAGTGTGTCGATAACATTTTCGGAGTCAAATTAATTCGTTGTGACGATATAGACGCATATAGTTAGTGAAATCTGTCGTTAGGCTAGTCCAAATTTGAGAACTTCATATTCGTCTGTTATACTTAGCTGGATATCCAAATATTAATTCAGTCATTTAAGATAAAATTAAGTTTATAAGTGAAATTTTTAATAAATTATTCATAGTCAAAATATTAAAATTAATTATATCAGTTAGATAACCTTACTTTGTACTCAGCATAACGATGATCCATTATAAACGCGATATGATTATAACTATATCTTAAAAGTGTATGAGAGGACGTTTCGCATTCTTATTGTTTATAAGTTTTAATGTTAAAATAATATCAAAAGTTAAGTGGACTGTTTGAGACACGTGAAGTATATTAAATTTAGCACAAATTTTCTAATTATATAAAATTTGTTATAATTTATTATTGTATTTTTTACCTCAAAGTATAACACTGTTTTAGCGCCTCTATTATAGTGGTTTTCTCATTCTATTAAAAATATTCACAATCTTCAGCACTATTCTTTCAAAAGTACAAACAGAAAATAATTCTTACTATATTTTACTTTCAGATTCTATTCAAGATGACGAGCGTAGTGACAAATCTGGTGCATAGTTATAGGGACCTTATGGACAATCAGTCCGGTAAGTCCATTGCATTTTAATTATATTCTAACATATTTTAACTCTCGCATCCAAAACTTTTCTGCATTTTTTAAACTAATATATAATTATAATATAGAACTTTTTTAATAAATTTGTAAAGGCTAATGAAAAATGGATCGAAATTATCATATCAATCCTCCTATGTTAAGATAGAATATTATAAGCATACATTATTATTCAAAAATTGTTTCAAAAACTCGTTTGCTGTTATCATTCTAAAATTAGCTGTTACGAAATGAAGATCGAAAATTACAGTCATATCACCGTAAAAATAGATTTCTTTCACTTATCATTTAAAAATATATTTTTTTAATAAAATGAAAAAGTTATGAAAAAACCACAAATATTTGAAGTAATATAATGAATTTGACAATTTAAAGCCTGGATCAAAAATTATTTCAATAAGAAGACATGCTCTTTTAAAAAATATAATTAAAATGAGCAAATTATCATTTAAACTATAAAATTGTATTGTTAAATATAAATATCGACTTTATTAAACTATTTTATATGTATATAACATTTATTTTTATAAAGTGTAAATTTCTAATTTCAATCATTTTTTTGCAGAGACTACACACACACACACACACACACACACACACACACACACACAGAGAGAGAGAGAGAGAGAGAGAGAGAGAGAGAGAGAGAGAGAGAGAGAGAGAGAGCGTACGTGTGTGTATTCTTAAAAAATTGATCGTGATGTCGTTTATTCTATTAATTTAAATACGTTAAATATATTAATAATATGGAATATGGGCAGTGGTGATAACAATTAAATCGATAATTAATTTGTTATTAATTAAGTGCAATGCCTGTATCACATCGCAACGACATTCGATTTTACAATATAAAGATATCTGTAGTCACATTTAAATCTCCGAAGATTTTCATAATCTTTTCTCTCTGAAAAGATTTGCACGATGCTAAATTATTAAGGAAGAAAAATTACCAGCGTCGTGACTGACATTTTTAAAACAAACATTAACAAACATGAATTGGCGCAAATATAGAAATTTTTTTTAACAGTCGTTCTTAGACTTCTCGAGCTAACATTTCATCGAATCTGTTCACTGAACAGCAATAACATCATATGGAATTCTAATTTCGACACAAAAAAGTACGTATTAGAAGCCTTTTGAGTATGGAATCGAATGGCGATAAAAAATTGTTCGCTATATTTTTGCAAGATTTAATAAATTCATGAGATTTACAAATAGCTCTTAATACGTTCCGTATGGACATCGTTGTGTCAATAAGCCATGTATTCACAAATTAAGGTAATCGCACGGTGAAATCTCTCCTTACTTTACCGGTATTGTGTAATACCAGTAATTTCGCAAATATGCTAATAGAGGAGATGAAGTAGAGGACATTTACGTAACGCGGCCCATTAAATGGCCCAGTATTGGATGTTCAATTAAATGACATAACGTTCGTGATATGTTAACGGAAAAAAAAGGCGATCGCATTTAGCACCCGATGTTTTTGCCGATCGAGTGAACAAAAAAGCTGTGCAAATTTATTTAAGAGATTGTAAGGACGATGGAGCTTTTTGCCGGAAATCCCGCGAGTATTACAACCGAAATTTCAACGATTCCCAGAGTCTGTTTACCGCGCGTATTTTCACGGCGACGAGAAATCCTCCTTCCCCTCTTCAGAATCTTCCGGCATGGCGCGAGTCAATATCGTGTCGTAACATCGGCAAGCGTTCGCGTTTCTAATTTCTCCGAGAACCGTCCGGAATCCTTGACCGTCTGTTTTCCATATGAGTCTGACAAGTCATTCAGCCGATTCCTGTTTCGATATCTTTCGCGATATCCGCGTAACGATACGAGAGCAAAAACGAACTACTTTTGATAAGATCTTATTCGTTCGCCATTTTAGAGTTTAATTCTGAAGAAGTCTATTTTTAATAGTGTAACTTGAGAACTGTCAGTTCTCCTCAACGGAGAAAACTTTTTAGAACGGAAAGATCTATTCAAATTAATTTGAATTGAGGATTCGTGGATATAAATAGATGTATAATTAATGAGAAGATATATTTACATAATTTACGTTCTCAATTATTTCAGACATCCGTTTAACATTCTCGCGAGCAAATTGAAGGTTAAAGTGAAAGTAAAATCCGAAAGTAAAAGTATATGAAAAGAACAGTTTTGCTGAAGTATCTAAAAATTTAGATAGATACAGATCTGAAAATAATTTTGTTGAATCAGAATTATGTAGAATTACTTGTTTCCACTAATGTAAATTAACTTTAATAATCTCGGTTTGACTTTATCTTTTTTTAATTTTTAGAATTAGAAAAAGATGAAGAATTGAACCGAGATTAAAGTTAATCTACATTGATAGAAATGGGCATTAACATTCTAGCAACTACAATATCAAGAGACACGGTAGTGTCTCGCGCCAAGTGAGAGCGCAGCGCGAAACCGCCCCGTGTCTTTACGCGAATCAGCGAGTTGCGGGCATCTGAAATTACCGGTTTTTTTATAAAGGATTGATCAAATTCTGAATATGAGCTCAATCGACAGTTTGAGTTTCTCAAAAAGTCATCTCCTTTTCATATTTTTGATGATAGATGACACTCGTTTATTGCTGTCATTTATCGTATACGTGTGAAATGAACGGTTTGACATATCGATACATATAAATTGTATTGTCCATTAAGCTGCTGTTCATAATGTCTTTATGGAATTTTAATTTTAATATAAAATTAAAGTAAAAAATTTTTTTAAAAAAGGTAACTTTGTTAAAACATTTACTTGAATCTAGATAATAATTTATTAATTAGTTAGATTATTAATTAGTTAAAAGTCTATAACATAATTATTTTGATGGTCCAAACAAAATTATTTTTTAATCTGTAGCTAATTAAATTTTTTAATATTTTATCAAAATTATATTGGATACTTCGTATATAGTTGGAAAATTTATGTTAAATTCAACACATTTAATGTGTTTACTCAAATTTATGTGTTAATTCAATACAAAATAGTTGGAAAATTTGTGTTAAATTCAACACATTTAATGTGTTTACTTAAATTTATGTGTTAATTCAATACAAAATGGATATATTAGAAAGTAACACAAATAAACGCAAAAAAATTAACCCTGACATAGTTTATAAGTAAACTATGGAAGCATATTTTTTCAATAAAATTAAAATTTATGACGTGTTAAATTAATAATTACGTACTTTATTCATTCATGATATCTGACTTTTACCCCCGCCTTTTAGAATTTATACATATTTTGAAACACATTATTTTTACGTTATTTATTCACTTATAATTGTATTTGATACTAAAAAATGTTGAATATCAATTTAACACAAGATATTTAAATAACATAACTATGTTAATTAAATTAACACTCGAATTTGTTAAAAAATTCAACACAAAATTTTCACAAAAACGTGAGTGAACCGTTTCTAACATAAATACAAAATTTTTTACTATGTAGCAAGGAAATTGAATAAAGGAAAGGTATAACTTACTGACAAACATTTTAATTATTAACGTGATTAAAACAAAACTGTATAGAGATGATTAAAAGATCAATCTCGCAACACTTGTCGACAATTACGGGGTATACGTCTATTCCAGAGAATTGAGAGAGCTAACGTAAATAATGGACGACTGTGGCGTCGATACGGCATTGACGGGGTAAGATCGGCGTTATCTTTAATTAGGGCGTGACGAGAGCAAGAAAATTGCACAGTTGTCTGACGTTTCGCCGCCGCGTCTTGAAATCGATGAAAGCGATCCGTTAATGTGGCGACCAATATATATATATAAATATTTTTTTTTTCCTTTTTTTTTCCTCCCATTAACGCCTAGAGACGAAGAAGTTTTCGTGTTATACGAAAAACAGACGCAACTACGACGAAGCAGATCGACGTCAATAATCTGTAATCGGTGACGAGCTCGTATTTTCCGTTAATCGCATAAGCCATATAAACGCCTGCCATTTGCTCGATCATTGCAATACCCGTTTTTTTGCCGCATTGTTGATTTCATCAGTCTTCGCATAAGATGTTGCGTAATATCCGAATGCACGAATAGACGAAATTCGATTTCAATATTCACCGTCGCCTAGCCGGCTTCACTTTGTCATTACAGTTGCGTTCCTCGTAACTTGCTTGCTGAGATCCACTTTCTTTTCCGATACCAACCGGTATACGCTTGTTATTGGGACATTGTTTTCGTGTCGCCTTTTTCTCTCATCGATTGATAGACCTTCTATTGTGTATCCAACTTTTCTACAATATCGATCTTGCATCTTTTACGTAAGGTTCAATGGATGTTTTCAACGTTTTTTCGTAACCGTAAACTAAACGATCAAATTGGCATGTTAATTAATAACAGCGTGCTAAAACCGAAGCGTATAATATCGATGACATGCTGTACCGCTTCGTCAGCTTGTAATCGAGTCGTCGGTCAATTGTGTTGACTAAGAGCTCAAGCGTTTCGCTGAGAATGTTGAAAAAAACAGAAGAAGAGAGAGAGAAAAGAGAGAGAAAGAAAAAAATCGTTCCATGTATCGGTCTCGTAGGCATCCGTCAAGTCGCGCGAGTGCGAGGGGTAATTTAGTGGAAGCGACTGCTCACTCATTCGCGCCTCCTGCACGCACTCGCGCCTTTTTCTGCTTCCTCCTTGTCGAGGGTGGATAGAAAAATGGCGATGGCGTTTTCTAGAGTGCTCGGGAGATCGAACATATTGCTGCTTGAAAATCATCGCGGATAATACAAGGGTTGCCACAAAATTCGAAATCGGAGAAATCAAGGAAAAGTCAGGGAATTTTGCAAAATTTGCTAGAAAATTAAAATTCTTGGCTTACAAAGAAGTTTAACATATACATCACACCTACATAATTTTGGAATACTATCGGTTTAACAATCAAAAATGCAAGCGGTATCAGCAACATTAAATAGTAATTCACATTGCTATGGTAAATGTTCTCTCGATAAAATATTTAACCGTTTCCAAATCAGGACGAAAATACAAAAAATTTTTTAATATTATTGAAAGTCAAAGAAAATCATGAAATTTTGGAAATCAGGGAAAAGTTGGAATTTTAAAATGACAAATTTGTAACAATCCTGTAATGATCCTCTTTTAGGCGTGCATTTCAAAATCTCGTAATTCCAAAATATCCAAAATAAATGTCTATTTTGTAGGGTATATCACAATTCGGAAATCATCTTTCGTGGGCAGATAAAACTAAACTGAATTGAAAGGTTCTACATTATTTATACTTTCCAATTAATAAATAATTAATCTTTAAGTAAATAAATAATTTAAAGATACGCAAGTTGATAAGTGGGGTACTCGATTAGAACATCTTTAAAATAAATTTTAATTCTATAGTTATATTTTTTATTAGTATATTATGTTATAGTTAAATAATAAATTTGAAAATCGAACTCTCACTATTTAAAATAATAACAGTACCAACTTGAGGCTAATAAGAATCGACACAGGACGAGGTGTGTAATTTTAATGTGCAATGATGACTTAACTCCAATAACTTCGTAATGTCTTCTTTATTCAACATGAACGTTTCAACTCTCTTTTGAGCCTTCCTCTGCATACAAACACTTTCTTCATCAAATATCACGTCAATAAAACTCGGTAGTCTGTCAAGGCACGTTCGACACTCCGGAACATGAAGACTATAATTGTATTCGATGTCATTAATTTATCTGATATTTATTATATTCAAGAAATCCAAAGTTTCTAAGTATGCTTGTGAGTCCGTTAAGCGTCCACTTTAGATTTGGAAATCTGGAAAGTGGGTCAAAAAAGAGTCGAAACGTTTATGTTGAATAAAAAGAATACATCACGGAGTTATTATGAAGTTAAGTCATCATTCCACATTAAAATTACGCACCTCGTCCTATGTCGACTCTTATTAGCCTTAAATTGGTATTATTATTGTTATAATTAAATTTATATTAGTTGTCTCTATAAGATAGAACTGATAGAGGAATATAAAATATTGAACTTTAAAATTTATCGATATCTGCACTGTTAGATATAGAAAAATGTAATGGTAACTCCTTCCAATTCCTTGAATTAATAACATTTTACATTTAACTTCCATGTTAAAATATAAATCAATCCACATTTTTGTGGTTAATTTTAAAGTAAAAACAATGTCTATATTAACATACTTAGTAAATAAATGTACTTAGTAAAATAAGCTAAGTTTGAATCAAATTCAATACATTTTCTTGAGTAACATTATTTTAATTAAATTAATTACATATTAAACAGAAATGACATATTATACAGTGGCGATCTATAGAAATGATTAAAAATTCAAAACAAATATACAATTTAACATTATAAACTTAACAGTATAGACAATACATGCACTTTTTCCTTTTCCGGAACAAAGTATTAAAGAAAACTATATTTAGTGCGTACTGCAGTCAATCTCATCTTCTCACTTAAAAGTCAATGAATAATTAATATGGCCCTCTTCACTCGTTTGTGTTGAAATAATTAATAATTAAGAGATTTTTCAAAAAAAAGCACGAAACTTCAGTGACGTCCGATCTGACATTTTGCTATAAGTTTATTTTGTAGCCAATACCGGCGTTACAACATCAGCATATCCGACATTATCGTGGCAATGGTGTAATAAATTCTTGTTCGCAACGGTACTTCCTGTCGTCAGTTACGAATTTTGACCCGGTTACAAGTGCGCATTGCATGAGGTATTGCATAATGCGGAGACGACTTTTAAATTGTTATTGCGCGCTCCACTTTCCAATGTACATATGATATACCTTGCGAAATATCGATACTCTTTGCACAATCGGAATTTCGCTTTATTCTTCCATTGACCCTGCCCTCAAAATCTTTACCTTCTTTTTAAATGCTTTCACGCACTAATTTACCGCGGCTTCTTTTCATCCATAAACGTAATAAGTAGGTATACACCGAGAGAAATGTACGTATAACAATTTATTTTGTTGGTATGTGACTATTAAAAAATGTCTTACTTTTTCATTAAAAAATTATGTTGTTCTATAATTGAAATTTAATTATTACAATAACACAATTTTTTTTAATGAAAAAGTAAGAAAGTTTTTGATATAGTCATATATCAACAAAATAAATAGTTGTACATACCAAAACATTTCTCTCAGTGTAGATTGCGCATTCCCTAATCGTAATATCTCTATTAGAAAAAAATAAACATATCGATCAGCATCTTTCTTCAATTCTATTAGCATCTCTCTTTAACTCAATAATTTAGAGAGAAAGAAAGAGAAAAGGAAGAAAGGGAGATAGCGATATGATCAAGATTCAAGTCTGCCTCACTCTTTCTACACCGGTAGTTATAACTTCGGTTTAGGATTATGTGTAATCTATTTTTATTATATCTATTGTACATTTTCGTCTGTGATTGTCTTTCGTTTTTTAACGTTTAATATTTTATTCATATTTTCTTTATTTCCAGATTCCAGGGTGAATGATTGGGTAATGATGAGCAGCCCTTTCCCGACCCTGGCGATATGTCTGTCGTACGCTTATTTTAGCAAGGTTCTGGGACCGAAACTGATGGAAAATAGAAAGCCTTTTGATCTTCGGGGAGTCCTCATTATGTATAATTTCCTACAGACTCTCTTCTCCATGTGGATATTTTACGAGGTTTGTTTTTCTTATATTTCTGTAACGCCGAATTTACTGTCGCTTGACGATATTAACACACATTTATCATAACTATATTATGACAGCGAAATTCCTAAATGAAAATCTCCACACACATGTATATGTATTCTATTAATTATTAACAAGATCAAAATCAAATGCTATAGGATGTATGGCATAGGTGACATATAGGTAAGAATAATTGAAAGATAAGAATCTTTTGATTATTCTTATCCATGGGTGTATTCTGAGTTACACATAAAGTGCATCATTTGTTCTTGTTGTTTATTAATTAATAAAGAAGAATAAAACGTTACATCATGCGCTTCATGCGTAACTTGGAACGCACTCTATATTGTCATCTACATTATAGATTCCTGATAGACAAAATTTAAATAAAATTGAAGATCGAAATTAGATACCCCAAATTTATTCACACATCCAAGTATAATTCATTTTATTGCCGTTAGCAAACATTGGCGGAGTTTTCGGCAAAATTCACGATCCACAATCGTTATTTGCGGAGGTCGACAAGATTACTTCCATAAATTCGTAATCACGGCGATTTGACCGCGATTGTCTTTCTGTATACGCGGCGATCGACGAGGGAATTGCCTTTAATTATTTCTCCGCCTTTTGTTTCGACATGGTCAATAACTACTGTTGATTCCAACAGGCAACAGTATGCGGTTTCATGAAATAATTTCGAGAGAAATCGTGGTCTTCCGAGAATTCAAATAATCCTACCGAAAGAAACACTTTGCTGAGTCTATTTATGATAATTACTAAAAGCACTTTGAGATGAAATTCCGAAATAAATTACTTTTCCGAAGCATCAAATAAATACTTTTTTTACTTTTTTCTTCTCTTAATTTACTCATATTTACAAATAAATATCTAAATTACAGCTATATATATATCATGGAAACATTCTAGTAATAAATGTCTATAATCGAACAGTATCGTTTCATAAACACGTATCTAGATTGCAATTAAAATTTTTAATTTCTTTTTTTTTACGAACTTAATAACATTGGAATAAGCTAAAGAACTTAAAAATATGGCCGATTTGTGGTAATTGATTATTACCTATAAACGCAAAAAAAATAAATAAACAGTGTAAATGATGTACATATTGATTATGCATTATTTATCACTATTACAATTTAATCAAGACGTATTTCTTGCAATGAATTAATATCTATAGATTTCTGTCATATCCTGTTTCGCGAGCTTTTAAAAATGCTTAATTACTACACCTAAAACACGAATAATTTAAAGATAATATTATAAATACGAGAACAATAATTTTTTATATAATTCAAAAGATTTACTTTGTTTGAATAATTAAAAGTTCATGTCAGACAGTGGAGAAATTATATTTTTATAATGTATTTATTGCACTATTTATTATATGCTTATTCATATTTATTTTTTATTTTTTA